GCCCTGCCAGAGCGGAGTTCCTTACTCAGAGACACAAACCCAGCCAGAGAGGCTACGTAACTCTGCAAAGCTCTTTTGGCTCGTTCTTGGATAACATAACGGGGCTCGCTCCAAATGCCACAAGCAGGAGGTTAGTGCTTTTATTTAGATTACTCATATAATTCGATTTGTGAGCCGCTTTGCTGTCTCCCTGTCAAAGAAAGAGCAACTCTGACTCTTGAGAGCTGGCTCCATCAGATAAATCTGGGACAGTTTGGGATAATCTGGCTCCTGATCAAATTTCTTTCCCAGTGGGAAGGCTACTAAGACTCAAGGCATTAGAGAGGTCCCAGGTACCCGCCTAAACTGGGCACTTCTCAGCTACATGAAAGGGGAGAGAAAAGTTACCCAAATATTCACAAACCTCAAAACAGGAGAAAAGGGGAGAAGGAAGGAGGTGCCATTCGAAAGGACAAGTGACGATTTGCATCATCTCTTCTTTCATCTAACTCAGTTCCTCTCTCAGCTCAGGCTTGGGAGTACCTGATAACACCTTTTCCCTTTCCCCCAAACACCCTCAGCCCTTGGGGAGGCTCTCACTGCTGCTCAGTCTGCTGTGAGGCTGGTCCAGAGAGGAGAAAAGCAGCAAACACACTCAGAGAAGGTCCCAAGACCTTCCAGGAGAGGCAGGATGAGATGTTCTCAAGAGATGTTGGGATCCAGGCTCTCCTCATCTGGGCAGATCCTTTTTCTTTTAATGATACTGTGGATCTTACCTTAGGAGAGAATTTCTGGAGTTTTAATTCATGATTTCTCACCCAAAATGGCAAACAGGAGGCTCTCAGACCTGCTAAATAGATTCATATCTGAAAGGGCTCCATATAAAGCGTGGAGATAGCGATGCCTCTGCCCTACCAAGGAACTCCCCGCTCCTACCACTCTCACTGCCACAGTCTCCCATTGATTTTATCCAGCTTGAGCAGACATCAGATAAAAATTGGTGTTGCCTAATAAAAAAAGAAAAAAATCTAGGTAAATGCTTTTAACCCCCCAAAGTATTATTTTTTTGAGAAAATTGAAATTATTACCTGCATTATTCCAGCCAGGCTGAAACTGGTCCCTTCTTGTGTGATATGACTCACTCCATTAAATTTCTAAGACTTTTTTTGGAAAGCCATGAAGCCCCTAAATGGGCAATTCAGGCCTCCAAACTGCAATGCCTCCCACCTCCCCAGGATGTCTGGGAGAGTCAGGACACAAGCAAAAAACTGGTTTTAGAAAGCAAGGCAGAAAATAGAAAACTTCTCAGCCAAGGTGGACACAATCCAGCTCCGTGGCCTGGCGAGCCTAAACGCACGCCTGTGACGGCTTCTCCCACCCACTGTCCCCCGGGCCTCAGCAGAGCGAGCGGGTCCTCAGCACAGCCGTAGCTCCACCGGCATCCGTGGCACCCCGGCACGGCAGGCTGGGCGCTTGTTAACGGTGTTTGGTGTTTTGGGGGCTGGGTTTCCTGCATGCTTCTCTCTGCTTGTCTACTAATTGGGCTTTCTCTCTCTGCTCTCCTCCTTCCCCTCTGCTTTCGGTGCAGCTGCAGATAGAACCGACAACCAGACAGAGGGAAGAGCCGGCTCGGAGCATGAGGCGGACGCCGGCCGTGCCGCCCCGATGGGCAGCCTGTCTCGATACCCCTCTCTGATCTGTCCGCTACACAGGGCAGGTCCCCTTTGCCCCTGGCCCAGCTGCCAAATCCGTCTCTCCGTGGCTTGTCTAACGGCATGGCACTCTTAACCTCTCCACGCCTGGTGCTTTCTTAACTCCGTCTCAAGAAGGGGGAAGGAAATTTGGAGTCCAAGCCCCCCATGCCCACTGCCATGTCGCCCCACGGGAAGGGTGCCTACCTGGCCCCAGCACTGCTGCCCGGGGACTGCATACTGCCACCAGCTCCCGGCATGTCCTCCACATCCCTCCCTCTCTGCTCAGATGCCTCGGCCTGGCTCGGCTCCTTCTCCAAGGCAGCGGTTGTGCAAGGAGCATGGCATGACCGCCTGGTTGGTTGGATTGGATTCAGCCTCCCGCTACCCTTCCTCCCTGGCCCAGCGTCACAAATAAGAAACACTCCTTCCTCTCCCCTCTCCAAGCATTCTGGCACCTTTCAGACTCTCCAGGCAAGGAGGCCTGGAGGACAGGTTGGCATCACCAGCCCTTCCCTGCAGGCACCGAGCCCTGGCACCGGCGCGGGGGGATGGATGCTCCTCCACCTCCCCTTTGCCTCCCACTGCCAGCCCGGCAGAGGTGGGACAGGCTGGTCTCAGGCTGGTTGCAGCTGAAGGAGGTCAGAGCCTGGTGTCTGGCCTCATCCATGTCCCCAAGAGCCCCAGGCATACATCCTGGGCTCCCTGAGGCACTGGGGGATCCACTGGAAGGATGCTGGGATGTGAATCAGAGGCTGAGAGAGAAGGAGGATGTATGTGTTGGGGAGCTCAGTCCAGCACTGGTCCTACAAAGATGAAGATGCTAAATGGTCCCTTTCCCAAGGGAAAAGTCTGGAAAGGCTCACAGCACAAACTCCCAGCCCTGACCCTTGCAGCAGGACCCAGGACACCAGTGGGGCAACACCTCTGTGCAAGGGCCCATTCTCCAGGCATCAGGCCTGGGAGACACACAGGGAGGGGACGGGCTGTGCGGGCCAGTGGGTGCTGCCCTGCAGCCATAAACAACCCAGAGCATCTGTACAAGCCAGACTTATCCCTCAACATCCATTCCCTCCCCCCTGCAAGCCCCAACATCCCTCCATACCCTATCCAGGTCCCACAGTTGCTGGTGCCATGGCACAGAGTACTGTGTGCCCAGGCACCCTGTGTCCCCTTCTCTGTCCCTCTGCAAGGCACAGGTACCCAGAGCCTCCACTCAACCTGGCTGCACCCACACACCTGTCACATCACCCGCAGTCCCTACAAGGGGTGGAGGGAACCCTGGTGAACGGTGAGCTGCAGTGTTTTGCCATAAACCAGGCTTTTTTCACTCAAGCAGTTAGGCAACCCTGAGCATCAGTACATGTCCCTGGTGCCAGCTACTGCTTTTAGTGAATTCTCTCTTCATTAGCCTGGATCACTGCAGAAGGAGTTAGGGCTCCTGTCCTTACCCCCTTCCCATCCTGAAGCACATGGAGACCCACAGAGCTCACGTCATCCCTCATCCACGGGACCTGCTTTCTGCAAAGTCACCCCCCACAATGCAACTCCTCGTCTCAAACGTGGCAGAGCCCAGCTCTGCAGCTCTGCGTTTCCCAGCAGGATCAGACCCCCGTTCCTGCCCTCCCCTGGGCAGGTCCCCCAGGATGGGGCAGGGGGATGCTGCACAGCATCGCCCCAGTGTGCTGTGAACTGCCCACACAGTGGTCCCACGAGGTGACTCCTGGCTTTGGCGAATGAACCACCTGGCAGCCTGGAGTCCTTCCTGGGGTGGGTGGCACAAGCCCAATCCAGGAAACAAGCTGGGAGGAGAGGCTGGGCAGGGTGCTGTGAGGGATCTGGGGGAGAAATGGGACCATGGACAGGCCACGGGGAAGGGCAATGGCACCCTGGAAATCCTTCTCCATCCGTCAGACCCTGAGCCCACACCAGGGATGGATGAAGCAGAACCAAACCTGAACATGTCCTGGAGAATGGAGCAGGAGGGATCTCACCCACATCTGATGGCCTTCCCCCTGCCTGCAGACCAGCCAAGCCACACTCTTGACGTCCTTCATCTCCTGCGATGGCAGGACAGCCAGGACCTAGGGTTGCTCAGCCTGATCTGAGAATGCTTATCAATGCTGTTTGGTGAGCAGGACCCAGAGCAGGAGGGATGGGGCCACCTCTCAGCAAAGCCTCGTGCATAGAGAAGCACCCCTAATGCACGGTGTAGGTTAGTGGCTCACTGCCTGCCCTAAGGGATGCAGAGACATACTCTAGGATGATCTCTCAACGGATCTCTCCTGCCAGAGTACGTTTCTTCCCCTCACAAAGGTATAGCAGAGAGATCTCCCACTAAGTGAAATGCACAGGAGGGGCTCCCAGGACTGGGGTCTCCACCGGCATGAGTGGTGTTGGCCATGTAGCTGGTGGGTGAGCCGTGCTGCTGGTGCTCAGCAGTGCCACCCACGTGCCCTGTCTGTGCAGGGTGGCCATGGTGGGGTTTTATGGGGCCAGGCTGCCCTGCCTGGGGACAGCCTCCTGCTGCCATCTGAGGCCATGTCAGGCTGTGCCCCCTCCTGCGCCCTAGAGAAAGGGGATACAGGACTATAGGGACCCTCACTCTGCCCCATAGGACCACTGTCACATGCCAAAGCCCAGCGGTCCTGCCCATCGGCTGGCTGGACACCACAAAAAACAGCACAAGCCTCAACCCCGCCCTTCTGTGTTGGCTTTCAGTTGCTGATTGCAAAGAGCCGCTGGAGCTGGAGCATGGCTTTGTCACCTTCTCCTCCAGGAACAACCTGACCACCTACCGAGCAGCCATCCAGTACCACTGCCAGCACCCCTACTACCACATGGCCCCCAACAGCACCGGTGAGCAGTGGAGCTGGGCCGCATCCCCACAGCACGGTGTGGGTGGGCACATGGCCATGCGGGTGTGCGTTTGCAAGCGGGGGGAGCGTGGGATGGCCGCCCTGGGATGCTCTACAAGCAGCAGGCTGTGGATGCAGCCTGCACACATCGGACTCTGCGCCTGCCCTGCCTGGATTGTCAGACCGACCGCATCCTGCTCTGCACCAAGGTAGGATGGAGGCAGAGCTGCCTGGTGTTTCACCTGTGTGCTTCACAGCCTCGGCAGAGCAGTGCAGATGTTTTTCTGTGCTCCGCCTTCTCATCCTGCCATCTGCTCCCTGCAGCATATGACATTTTCTGTGTCTCTGTGAAAGGAGCTGCTGCTGGAGAGGGCACCAGTCCAGCAGCCTCAGAAAGGGCTCTACAAGGCTCCCCATCCCAGCACTCAAATGTCCAAGGTAGCCAAAGCTGAACAGACAGCAGTAGGATCATGACAAACCGAGTTTCCCCCTTATCCCCTTGGTCCACAACCACACAGACACCACAAGGTGCTTCACCAAACTGAACAGGTCTCTGCACTCCATGGACCCAGCTCTGGGCAGCAGAAGGGAGGTACACACACCCCGAGCCCTGCCTCCTCCTCCTCCCTCTGCAAGCAAAGCCAAAGGATTTCCTCACATTCCTGTCTCCCTGCTCATACCCCACTGCACACCTGCTGCCCACCCTGCATCTGGTCCCAGCATCCTGCATGCGTTAGCAGAATGGGCACCAGCAGCGTTAAAGGGACGGCAGCTGTCAGCCAATGCTGAGGGCACGGCACAGCCCTCCAGACAAGCCAAATCAATGAAACCAAGGATGGCAGCATGTCCCCTGCATGGGGGCAGGGCTGCCAGGGCCCCCCAGGGAACGGAGCACAGACAACTTAAAAGGGAGGTCACCTCCTGCTCTGGAAAAGACTTCAAAGGGTCCTGACAGCTAGACAGTCTCCTTACTGCAAAAGACACCCCCTCATGCCAGGGCTACCATCCAGCGAGTGCTTTGCTCTCTTCCAGCCACCTACATGTGCGATGCATCCGGGGTATGGAGGAACGAGGAGCTGGGGACCAAGCTGCCATCCTGCCGACCAGGTACTGCTGCTGGGGCGAGGACCGCGGAGCAGGGACATGCGGGGAGGGGGATGCCCCTGCGCCTGACCTGACCTGCTGCATCCCTAGGCGGGGATCACGCTCCCTGGTGACAGTGCCAGATGTCTTGGCTATATGTATCCAGCTGCTGCAGTGTGTGGCTGGAAGGGTGATGGGGACAGAGGTGTCCTGCTGGCCCAACTGGCTCAGATGGTCAGGGCGCGGTGGTGACACTGAGCAGCAGTGACGAGGGCAGGTACTCCTGGCAGTTTAGGGCAGCAGTGGAGTCACAGCCATCGGGGCTCCCCGAGCTCCAGGCTCCAGCAGACACGGAGACCAGCAGCCCCAGCAACCTGGGACAGAGCCTGTTGGCCGTGTTCAGTCCCCAGCGTCACTGGACATGTCTCCAGCCAAGGGCAGAGCATTACCTGCCCAGCGCCGCTGGCTGTCAGCTCCCGTTGGCAGCATATCCACATGCAGGAGCAATTAGCACCTCTGTGAGCCTTGCAGAGAAACCCAGCCACCCCGCAGGAAAGGAAATGTCCCAAGCCTTTAAGCAGTGGCAGAAATGTTTGCAGCCAGCAAGTTTCCAGGCCAGGTGCCCGCTCGGGATTAAACAGAAGTCCCTGGGACATCAGCTGGCCACAGCCAAGTGTGGGGCCAGGTCTGGCTGCCAGCCAGGGGGGCTGGAGGCAGCCCTGGATATGGGTTGTGGTCAGATGTGCAGGGACGGCTCTGCAGAGAGGTGAAGTGGTCCGGCTGCCATGCAGCAGCTGCAGCTGCAACCACGCCGAGGTTTGGGAGCTGGCTCAACCCCATGGAGAGTATCTGCTCTCGAGCCACGCTGAGTGACTGCAGGGCCAGAGGAGGGACCCCCGAGTTTCCCAACAGCCCATGAAGTTCTGAGACCAGGCCTCCGGTTGCTCTTGTTGAGCCGACTGCTCCCTGCGTCTCTGCTTAATGTTTCAGCCTGAACTAATTTGAGCTGGGAGCATACGGGGACATCTTTTGGGGCCATAGCTGCTTTCATGGGCCATTTCCAGGCCTCTTGATTAGTGACAGAAGTCAGAGAGACTTCAGGAAAATGGAAAATCCCAGAGAGAGGGTGACGCTCTCCCGAGATTGGGATCTGCAGGCAACAGCTGGCCAGCTGCTCTTAGATATTCCCCCATGTCTCACGCCACCTTCCCATCAATAGGAACTTCTCTTCCAGGCCACTCCACGCCTGCCTCTGCCATTAGTGGGAGCATTTTCAGCCTGGTCAGCATTTTTGATATGTAATTTAATAGAATAAATATTTGGCTGGATGCGCTTCCTCTAAAACCATCTCCCTGGGATGGCCGTCAGCTTCGGTGCAGTAGACCAGCTGGGCTGAGCTGGGACACAGGAATTATTTGCCTGAGCATGTTTTCTATTCCTTGCAGCACTGGGAAAGGCAGGGGAGCAGAGCAGACACAGACACACACTCCTTTCCCTCCTGGAGTTGCAGTTTTCCTTGTGGTGGACCTCAGCCACAACAAATCCATGTTAGCAGGTCCTGGTGCTCCTGTCCTGGTTGCAAGGCTGAGTCTCAGCTCTGATCTCATCACCCTGGGGGGTCAGACCCTCTTTCTGTGCTGCTCAGCATCCTCCCCTTCCAGCACAAAGACATCAGGGCAGAGTCCTCGCACTTTCCGCAGAGGACACGGATTCCCCTTGCAGACTCAGAGGGATGAGACCAGCACCTGCACTGCTGCGATTCGAGACTCTTCCAGCTGTGGAAGGGCAAACCCAAATTGATTCCCACAACCTCCCAGTGACATTGGCACCCTCCAGCATTGACCACCCTGGAGGTCCTCCTCCACAGTGCTGCCACAGATGCGAACCAGCCCCCCTACCACCACCTTCATCCCAGGGCTTAAGTATCTCAGGGGCAAGATTGCCCCTGCCCAGCCTGTCCAATCCTCTCGCCTTCAGCATGCTGAATCTCTTCTCTTTCCCATGATGGCTCACAGTGCCTGGATAAAGCTCCTGGAGGCAAACCAGGCAGTACGTCAGGGCTCTTCAGACATTAATTCTGAGTCTGTTGAGGAGCTGAGCAGAGGGATGTTGGTTTGGCTGCCAGAATTGCGGTGAGGACTTGAGATGCAGGAGTAAAGCCCATGGTGCTAAGCAACATCCCATGGCCGAGCCTTCTCCAGCCACAGCCCCTCCAGGAGGGCAAATGCCATGGCCATGAGACCACAGACCTCGTGACAGGTCTCGGAGCAACGGGTGAGGCTGGGCTGATGTCAGGCTCCAGTCCTCCCACCAGCATTCCCCTGAGTTTCTTGGCACACTGAGCGAGAGCCAGGCAAGTGGCTGAATGGTCTGGGAAGGGCTAAGAAAGCTCACAGGGCATGGTGAGGCTGCAGGATTACTCATTTGGCCTTTCTACTTCTGAAATGGTGTGGATCCAGCCAAATCACTCCGGAAACTGAACTGCAAGTGAGGAATTGCAAAGTGCAGGCTGGCCCTCAAGCCATCTCCTTGTCCCACCTACCAGCTCAACTGTACAACAATCCTTTAAGTCATAGCCCTGTTTTACTGCAATCCAGGCTTGGCAGAAATTATAGCATCTGGTAGGTCTTCAAAGTAGAAGGATCCCTCCACTTGCCCTTCCCTAAGGAATCTGGTAGCACCATGGTCCCCATCTGGAGCACAGATCACATAGATGTAAACTGAGACCAAAGTCTGATACTATTTAGAGTGCTTGAAGTCCCACCCTGGCTCACGTGTTTTGCTGAATCCATGCCCGACTTCAGTGTCAGGAGATCTGGTACAGCTTTGGGGTAGCTAACCCTGGATGAAAGCCTCCACAGTCCCACACTGTGCTGAGCATAATTCTGACTGTCCATATTCATGCCCAGTGGGTGACAGCTCACTCTTAACACCAGATGAGCCTGTTATTCGCAAGGTAAATCCTCCATCTTCTCTGGAGTAGACATTCAGCACATAAAACCTTGACACAAGGCCACCCTTTTTATCAAGGTCTCTCCACCTCCCTTCGTGACAGGGTCACATGTGCTGCAGCCCTGCCCTGACAGATACCAAGAACTTGACCCTTCCCAAGCTCAGTGGAGACTCTTTGGGCTCAAGACCCACCTGGGCTGGTAGCCAGAAGTGTGCCTAGAAAGTCTCATGGCCAAGAGCATTCACATCCTTCTTTCACAGCCTACAGCAAGGGCAAGGAAGGAGAGGGCAGCTGGGAGGCTACTTTTTTGGTGCAAACTTTTAGGACTATCTGGGCCTTGGCTGCCCATGAACAAACCCAGGATGGACTCCTGCAGAGCCAGGACAACAAGAGCAGGGAGCTCCCAGCTCTGAAGATGCTTCCTTCCTTGGTCCAGCAGGCTGGTGACAGAGCCAGCACTAGCACTGAGATCTCCTGGTTTCATGCTTAACCCTCAGACTTAGAGAAACATAGGGTGGCTTCTACTTCGCTAAAGAAACTGGACAACCCATGCAGGCTTCAGACTGGCCTTTTTGTCTGTGACTAGTTTCACAAGGGCTGAACAAGGTCACCCCACCATCTTCATGGAAGAGCAATAGACTGCCCCTTTTCCAGGAGGGCAAACCACTGCCACCAGAAATGGTTCCACCAGGCAAGGAATTCACAAAAGAAGCTGGGATTGCCTTTAGGAAGCAAAACCCTTCAGAAGGACAGATGTGTTCCTTTCCTAGACACACCTCCTACCTATTAGCGCAGGGGATGGAGTGTAATGCCCAGCCTGCTCCAAGCTCTGAAGCATACTCTGCCAGGAGAAGGTAGAGGTGGCAGGGAGGATGGGCTTTATCCACTGAGAAAGGGAGAAGAGTTGCCTTGTATGGAAAAAAAAGACACAAGTGAGTGTTTGGTTTGAAGATAACCAGCCATGTGGCCTAATTGACAGGGATGTCCCTTTTTTTTCATTTGTTCCCTAGGTAAGTGTTGGGAGTAACTGTCCTGTCCTTTTTGTCCCCAGTGTGCGGCCGGCCGGCTCGCCCTCTGCCTGGGATCATCAAGCGCATCATTGGTGGGCGAAACGCAGAGCCCGGCTTCTTCCCCTGGCAGGTCCTGATTGTGGTGGAGGACATGTCCCGGGTGCCCAACGACAAATGGTTTGGCAGTGGCGCCTTGCTCTCAGACTCCTGGGTGCTGACGGCTGCCCACGTGCTCCGCTCCCAGCGGCGAGACAAGACTGTCATCCCTGTCTCCAAAGAGCACGTCACTGTCTACCTGGCCCTTCATGACGTGAGGAACAAGATGGAGGCTGTCAACCGGACAGTGGAGAGGATCATCCTCCATGAGGACTTTGACATCCAGAACTACAACCACGACATTGCTCTGGTCAAGCTGAAGGAGAAGGTGACCATGGGGAACTACGTCATGCCTGTCTGCCTGCCCCAGTTTGAGCACGAGCTGGAGGGGCCTCACCCCAACACACTGGGGCTGGTGGCTGGCTGGGGTATCTCCAACCCCAACATCACAGTGGACGAGATCATCAGCTCGGGCATGAGGACGCTGTCTGACATCCTGCAGTACGTCAAACTGCCAGTGGTACTGCATGCGGAATGCAAGACCAGCTACGAGTCACGATCGGGGAACTACAGCGTGACCGAGAACATGTTCTGTGCTGGCTACTACGAAGGTGGGAAGGACACTTGCTTGGGAGACAGCGGAGGAGCCTTCGTCATCCAGGACCCAGGAACCCGAAGGTGGGTGGCCCAAGGGCTAGTCTCATGGGGCGGCCCAGAGGAGTGCGGCAGCAAGCAGGTGTACGGTGTGTACACCAAAGTCTCTAACTATGTGGACTGGGTGGAGAAGAAAACAGGCTCCTCAGAGAGGTGGACATTTCTCGACCCGGAGCTGGAGAGATGAGTGACTAAGCAGCCTGCTGCCACAGCTCTCTTTCTTCTTGTTGTTGTTGTTTAATGTGCTCCAGACTCTGGTCTTTCGCAAGCAGTAGCCACGATGCTCAGCGCATGCCAAGCCTTCATCAGCCCTCCACGTCATTTGTTACGCTTGGTCTCGCATCCCTTTGCTTGTGCTCTTAGGAAATGTTTGCTAGGGAGCTGGGGGAAGGGAGCGAAGGGCAAGATCTCAGCCGGCGTTCTCAGCTTGTGCTGCCCGTCTCCAAACCTCACCCACACTCCCAGGGAGCCTCCCTCCAAGCCAGGACAAAGGCACGGCGATGGAGGCAGCATTTCCCTGCCACCAAAGCTTTGAGCCATGCACAGAGATTGGTCGGACCCCTGAGGCTCTCCAGCCAGATCTTCCCATCAGACGATGCAACCGCAGGAGCTACGGAGGCTACGGACAGCACAGGAAACCTAGCTAGGCAGGCCTTGACCTCACAGGTCCAGCATGGTGTGGAACACCTTTTCTGTGCAAGGAGTAGTGAGAGAGCCCTGGGGATTTACTATTATTTTTATTTGCAAACATATGTCCCTGCCTGATGGCATCTCAGGTGTTGTCCACTTGGCCCCAGTGATGTAAGGATGCATCCACATTAGCCCTAAACTTCAGCTATGGCTGGAAAGCTATTGGCTGCCAAGACAACACCAACCCAAAAGGGCTACCCTTTCCCCACCATGCGGGATGGGTGCCCCACAGAGGATACAAGTACAGGGAGCAGGATTGGGACTCAGTATCATCCTCATCTCCAGCCACCAAAACTTCTCCAACCCTCCATGACATCAAGCCCTCTGCAGCCCTCCCCCCAGACTAGCTCTTGGAATGGTTTCCAGCCACAGTAGACCTCCCAAAGAAAGTTTTCCAACGCACAAGACAGCATCACGTCTGCTATACCTAAGCAATACTTATTTTCAACAGAATCATTTCAGATAAAATGCACTTCCTTGGGGTTTCACCTCTTCTTTAGAGGCCTGGGTGGTCCTGCACGGCAGCGCATTCATCCTTGCAAGAACCTAGTTCCTTTTAACTGCTTTTAAGGCCATTGATTTGGCTGATCCGCAGGTGTTTACTGATGGTGTTCAGTGTTTGTTCATGGCTCTTGTGACCTATTGCACATGTCAAAGTCATTCTAGACTGACCCCAAAGCACTTAACACAGCAGAAGTGTTCATATCTCCCCAGCCTCCCTCTATGGCCCGTGCAGACAAATAAGCCACACCAAGGAACAAGGTCAGCGGGGACATCATCTCCTTCACTTGGCAGCAAAGCCCTTCTATAGCTGTAAGCAACATGCAAAAATTGCCTGCTGTCCTCTTGGCGAGCCTGGAGCCTCCTTTGGGCCTCTCCTCCTCCTCCTCCTCTTCCTCCTTCTCCTTTGGTTTTGCCATGCAAGGGAGGAGTCAACAGTGAATGAGCCACTCTGCCATTTTGCTGTCATCCAAAAAGCCATTTGTAGAGCATGTAGAGGAGCAGAAGGCCTAGGGACACTAGTGCAGACACACTAAGAACTCTTGGCTATGTCATGTAACTGCAAGGTATTTTTATATATAAATATATATATATATTTCTTTTTTGATACTACATTCTGTAAAATATCCAATGTCATGTAAGGATGGTTCTGTGTAATCTTCCTCCTGAGAACAAAATAAAACTTTGATATGTACTGAGTTAATGCCCTGAGGCTTTTATTCCGAGAGGAACACGGTCAAGGCTGGTTGCCAGTCTCTGCCACGCACGTGTGCTCTCCCAGGGGGATTCTCACGCTGTCCCTCATCCTGACGGCTGCCCGCGCAGCTCCGTGGGCTGAAACAGAACCTGATCAGCCATGAATACAAATTGTAAAAAACCAGCAACAGATGAGATCCTGTCTTTCAATTATTTACAGCCTTAGGACATCGCTGAAGGTGGGGGCGGTGGCAGGAGGAGAGTACAGCAACCTGTATGTTAAGAATAGCAATTAAATCTGGGTTCGATTGACATGCAGAAAAAATAACAGGTATGTGACTTTTGCTTTAAAAGGGGTGAAAAATCAGCCCATTCCCACTGGCTGTTGGGCTGAGAGAGTGCGTCCTCATGGCAGAGGCTCTGCAGCGAGCACAGGTGGGAGCTCATGCTCTGCTGGGTACCTCTGCATCACAGGCTGTGAAAATCCAGCCTTTGGAGAGAGTTTAAAATCATGGGCACTGTTTCCTACCACATGCCTGGATCCAGGGCTGAGAGCTGGGTTATTGATCCCTATTTTCCTATTGCATAGAACTGAACTAACAGCACTGGGCTCCTCTGGGCTGACAGCTGGGAGGAGGGCAGCGGATCTGGCTCACTTGCTCATGGGTCTGCTAGTATGTCCAGAGACATCAGAGGGATGAAGGGTAGGAGAGAGAAAAAGTAAAATCAAGTCATAGTCCACCGAGCATTAAACCGCCATCTGTAGGAGCTGAGCCTACACAGCTCTGGGGCAAGTTAAAAAATGCTGCTGCCCTATAACAGATCAGTCATAAATCCAGACTCTCCTCCGCCTCCCGTTGATAGCTCTGCCGGGAAATCCCCAACACAACCCAGCCCTCATCCCCTGCTCACCAAGCTGCCATGATGCTGAGTGCCAACCCCTAGTGCCCCGGGGCCACTGCGGCCAGCTGCACAGAGGGCAGGGGACAGGCAGCAGAGGAGAAAAGCAAGAGCAACAACAACGGGCTTTGCATTTGCTGGCACCTCGCGACCTGCCAGAGTGGTGAGAGCTTCTCTCCAGGGAGACAGGCGCGAAGACAGCAATTTATCAGTCTAGTTGCGGTGAAAGGCTAGCAGAATGTCCCTCGGCAAGGTTTGCCCATCCCTAGCTGTGTGTGAGTGCCAGGAGTGAGCTGAGAGTCAGCTGTGGTAGAATCCAGCCCCAGATAGACCAGGAAGGACAGCCAGGGCCTGCCTGGGACCCATGGGGAGAGAGAGCATCCTTCATCCCTCAGCTGCCTTCCCAGGATGCTGGGATCCTGGCCTCTGCTCACCATCCCTGGGGGCTGAGCTGAGCCGTGGGGGCTTGCACTGGGCTCCAAAATTACCAAAAGCCATGAAAAGCAGCACTTTGAAGGTAGTTTCCTAAGAAAAAGGGAGAGACAGGCACAACTGCACACCAGAGAGGGATATGCTGGAAGGAGCCCAAAAACCAGGCTGTGGCTGAGAAGCCCACACATGCACAGGTGTCTCTAAGTAATGGGGAAGGGATGAAGGGGCTACATGATGGAGGGGGCAGAGGATGCCCAGACTTGCACGCACAGTATGAGGAGACAGGCAGACAGCATCGGAGAGGGGACCAAGGAAAAAGCAGCATATGCACACAGGCCGTGGGTAGAGGAGCGTTGGGTGTGTGCAGAGGGCATTGCAGAGCAGAGAGCAAGGGATGGCTCTGCCTTGTGAAAGACCAGAGACCCAAGCAAGAAAATAAGGACCCCCACAGGAATGTGGTCTCCACCAGAGCTGGCTTCCCAGGCGGAGGCAAGGGAGTTCCCCTGCAGCAGCAGATTGACTGGGGAGGCTGCAGCCAGCCAGACATGATGACTGGGGCTGGGAAAACCTCAGCATGGAAAGAAGAGGGCTACGGGCAATGGCAGCAAGAAACTTGGCTATGTCCCTGCTGCATGACATAACACTGGTGGGGAGAGAGCTGGCGGCTCCCAGAACGAAGAGATGTGCCGGGGGGAAGGGAGTTGATCCAGGCTGCAGGATCAGCCTCCTCCTCCCCAGCAGAGCCATGATGACTGGGGCTGGGAAAACCTCAGCATGGAAAGAAGAGGGCTACGGGCAATGGCAGCAAGAAACTTGGCTATGTCCCTGCTGCATGACATAACACTGGTGGGGAGAGAGCTGGCGGCTCCCAGAACGAAGAGATGTGCCGGGGGGAAGGGAGTTGATCCAGGCTGCAGGATCAGCCTCCTCCTCCCCAGCAGAGCCACTGAGCCCCGACCGGCTGAGCAAGGAGAAACCTCCTCCAGAAAGACAGGTTCATTCAGATACAAGACCCTCTGGGTCCCAAGTGCTCCCTCAGTCCCAGTTCCCCTGCCAAAAGCACTTGGGACATCACTGATATTCACTTCAAGAAAGACAGGTCACGCTGGCTCTCCTTCCTGGAGACACCCTGCTGGTGACACCACGCTGGTCCCCAGCCCTGCTGCTATGCCACCACTGTCCCCCAGGCAGAGCTGGGGGTCAGGAAGGGCTTGAGGCCCGGCACTTTGCATCACGTGCATTTCCAGTGCTCTGAGACTGGTAAACCACAGCGAGAGATCGGCTCATCCACAGACTGGGACCATATCCACGTAGGATATGGTTTGGGGGACCACGCTACAGGGAAACAGCCGGGCACAGGGATGGGTGGGAGGGCATCCCCCATCTGGGGAGGGCGCGTCCTTCCTAGTGCTGGCTGGTCACTGGTCCCAGCGCTTCCCAGCGCAGTGCCGGAGACGTTGCAGCTCCATCTGCTGGCTCCATGGCCCACGCCGCCCCGGGGATGAAAAGGCGCTGGGGAAGGGGGCGACTTGGTGGGATGAGCAGGGCAGGGGGCTTAAGAAACAAAATCTACATAGCCCCTGGATCATACAGGATTTTCTTGTTATTTTGATTTTTTTAACCAATAATTCAGTCATGAAATCTTTTCTGCCATGTCCATCTTCAGCAGTGAACCATTTTCAAAGGCAGGAGGGGACGGATGCAGCTGCCTCAGTGGCTCTGCAGGTCTGGGCCTCGTTGGACTCATTTGCCAGACAGCCCAAAAACCAATTTCAGTACCCGGTGTAGTCTGGGGGTTGTTCCCTTCAGCTCTTGGTACCTGCAGTGAGCAGCAGGTCCTTCAGTGTCTGCGTTTTTGCTCCTCGAGCACCCAGGTGGTGTATGGACCCTGGAGAACACGGCACAGAGTGAATGATGCAGATCAGTTTGGGGGGTGTTAGGAACCCCCACCTCACCCCAGCAACTGGC